ATGTCATGTTATGTTATGTTATATGTTATGTTTGTTATGTCATGTTATGTTATGTTATGTTATGTTATGTTATGTTATGTTATGTTATGTTATGTTTTGTTATGTTATGTCATGTCATGTTTACAGATTATGTTGTATCTTACAGAAATATGGTTTACGATTTATAACCATGTATTTATTGTACTTTATAAAACAGAAAGTTCCAATCATGAATGCTGACTAGTCAATACAGTATTCCAGCTTTGCTAAAATACACAATATAGAGCCAACCAGTGGGGTTCTACTTGAAAATCCTGTTCATTTTTTCCATAGAGACACTGATTTTTAATGATAATGAATAAACCTTTCAAGACAGATCTACCATGAGCTCTTAGGTTGTTAAGTGATAGTATATGCTTCTCAAAAGTCATTTATACAACACCCACAATCCTGAAGGCAGTGCCACCAGTCACAGAAGTCACTGTGACCACTGAAACAAAAACTACAGCGAAAGAGTTCAGCAGTGATCGCCCACTTCCATGAAGCATTGCTAATAATTGTTCCCTAGAGCAGGGGTTTTCAACCCGTTCCTGAAGCCTCCAAAGTACTGCACATCAAACTCCAAAACTACTTATATTTGCACTGATATTCGCATAAATGTATATATTTTACAGTAAACTTCAAATGTGCTGTATTGTATTTTATTTTAAACTTAAAATCAGTATTTTAATATTGTATTTTCATTTATGATTCATTACATAATTCATGGTGGTTCATGTGATTATTAGGTAGAATTCATAAAAAAAGAATTAAAATTCACAGTCATGTCCCCCCCTCCCCCAGTTTTTCTGCTTCAAATCAAAGTTTACAGAGTTGCATAGCTGGCTTATGACTTAGAACACTTGAGGATGTTATTTATTTATTTATTGAGTTTTTTTTTTTTTTTTTATCACTGTGGTGGAAAACATTGTAAAAAAATACTTACAGAACAAAGGATGTTGACTTTTTCTTAATAAAATAAACATTTAATAAATTTTCTGTTTTTACAGATTTTCTCGATTGCTTAAACACATTTCTTGAAACTATGCCTCGTATTCTCAAAACAGTAAACACAGATCCATAACGTCTCACCCAATTCCCCAAACATCCTATTTTCAGGTCAAAATGAAGCTCTACACTCAAAACCATTCACTCTTGCTGAAAAACCAAACTTTTCCCTCAGACATCACACACAAGCTTTCAAAAACACACACACACTACAACATAGTATTACACACTGGTGCAATAAATTCAAAACAATATATCCAAAACTGGTAAGTTATGTTGCTTGTGGTTCTCCCCCTCAAAAACCTTTTCACATGAACACAAAAGACACAACCAATGTATACTCTTCCTCACTCCTTTTGAAAAATGTCGTTATGGTTTTGAAATTTTAGTTCAAAAGCCTGGTTATAGTGTTTTAGCAATCGAGAAAAACTGTAATAGTTGTATTATTTATTTTCAAGCACCAAAATTACAACAAACAAGCATAAAAGTGGTCCATACAACTAAATGTCAATTTTTTTTTAATCATACAATATCTTTGCAAAAATCTTGATATCAGTGATGCCAAAAATCATTGGCTTCCATGAGTCATGCAGACGTCTTTTTTTTTTTTTACATCAATGGTACCACATTTGATTTAGAAGCTACAGCTGAGATTTTTAGCAAATAATGTATTAAATCTGTTTTAAATCTGTTCCTTGTACACTATTTTATTTTCTTGATAGTTGTATTAAGTGATAATCATTATATAAAAGCAATAAGACTCAGACCGCACTTTAATGTATCCTTTTGGTAGTAACTATATTTACAGTATAACGCAGTTTTATTTTAAAGAATTTATCCGTATATTGCTTCTTGCAGTGTTTTTCATGGGCCTTTGCCTTGAAAATGATAAGAAAACAAGAAAAAGGAAAGTTCAGGGGGAGGAAATGAAAATCAGCCAACTTGATAAGAGACTGACTGTGATTGGAAAAGCCAGAGAGGCCTTAAACTGGATGAGAGGAGCCAAGCCAAGAATCTGTCAGCGTAATACATCTGTCAGTGTTGTACGCCAGCTCTAATTTTACACTTAAAACTTCTTTACTTTACTTTACTTCTGACTAGATGTAGCCTAATGTTCATTGGTGTCTTTAAACATAATGAGACAGACGAACTCCTGTGGCCTTTTTCAGCAGCTGCTGGAGTGCTCTCTGTGGGAGCCATCATAACAGAGTGCGAGCTTGTGACAGCTATGGTTGTGATGACTTTAACTCCAGCAGGTATTTCAGAAACAGCTATTTTCCTATCTATCTATCTATCTATCTATTCTCAGTGCACTGTGTGAAGATCTTCAACATCCGTCCGTATGTTTACTTTGGGTTCAGGGAGAGGCCTTTTACAAGCAATACAATAATCTATACTGTATGTAATCCTCTCATTGATTATTTATTTCATGACAATAAAGTACCACAAGATGGCAGCATGAATCTACAGAACAATAGGGAAACAACAAAAAAATATATTATTATTATTATCTTTTTCTGTTTAGTCCACACCTACTCATTCACTTCATTATTTTTTCATATTTGAATGATGTGAAAATAGACATCTCAGACTATGAACTTCAAATACATTTTTCATTAAATTATTTATAGTAGTTTTAATGAGGAGACATCAAGACATCCGTGTTCTGGAAACATGACAGCAGCCCACCTCATGACATTTACTGAAGCTCCTAGCATCAGTCTCCTAATAAACTGTGTTTTTATTGGCTGACTAACGTTTTACTTGCATGGAAGAGATATGTGCTCTCGGTCATCTAAAAACATGTACAGTTTGTGTCGCATTGCTTGTTAATTTATTGTACAGATAAATATTTATAGGGCCTACCGGGGGGGGTTTAGTGATTTGGGGGCCCCAGGCGAAATACAGGAATGGGGCCCTAAACAATTTCACACATTTATAACCTTGAGGTTCCCTTCACTGTTGTGATGCTCACTGCTGCACGAACATGTCCCATAGTTGTGTCCAATTTTTTCATATTTTTCATGTACATGTTATAATAATGGATTTCTTTCATGTTGCAGACCCCTTGTTCACATTTAAACAGGTTATAATAGTATTAGAGTAGGTTGGACACTAGGTGGTGCTTTGGGGTAATTTTCACTAAGCTACTGTCTACACAACGCAAGGCTGTCTAAATCTAAACTTTAAAAATACATTTATTTTTCATTTATTTTAATTACAAATTTAAATTAAACTGAAGGTAATTATACGTTTACACGCTTAAGGATTATTTCAAGCAAACATGAAGTGTGCAAACATCAAGCAATTAAAATAATAATAATAATAAATAAATAAAATAAAACTTCCGTAGCAATTTAGCAAACCATGGTTGTCGTGGTAACAATGAAGACCACAGCAACCACTTGCGTCTGCGCTGAACATGCATCTCGTATATAAAACATTTTAGGGGGCCCTTGGATTTTGGGGGCCCAAGTCGGTCGCTTACGTTTCCTGAATGGTTAAGTCTGCCTCAGCCCAAAAAAGAAAATGTGTGCAATTGATTTTGAATAAAAAATATAAAATACAAAAAATCATGTTATGGCAGGCCCTGTGTTTGGTATTGCTACTGTTACACATCTAATATTCACTGCAAATAAATAAATTAATACAAATAAAAAATAAAATTAAAAAACGAAAATATTTACAGATTTGTGAAAACTGCATTGTGTCAATGGAAATTATTGTGCGCTTCCCCTTTAAGTTGTTCCACTGGTCTCGGATGAGCGAAAGGACGAATCATACTATGGCGAAGGATTAACTCATGAATATTAATGTCGTCGTTCAGCCGTTCCCAGGAATCATCTAGTCACGTAGCCTAATTAATATTCATAAGACAATCCTTCACCATATTTGGAATCATTAATTCAGCTCAACGGCCAATGTCTGCCTCTGAGCCAATCAGGTAAGGTTATTCGGCGAACGTCGTGGTGCGTATTTAATATTCATGAGTCACGCGTTCCCATAGTAGGATGTGCGAATGCGTTGGGCTTTGATTAAATAAGAGTCGGTGAGCTGGGATAGGCTGGGAGTTCGCTCGGTCCAGACTGCAGGAAATCCGACGTGGACTATAAACCCGCAGAAACGGAGAGACAAACGAGCGAATGACTAGAAGTCGATGCGAAAAACTTGATCCGATTTTCTGCCGTGGGGCTGGAACGCTACATTGTATCTAAAAGTCTGAGATTATTGCAACATGCCACGGCGGACTGTACAAGAAGTAACTGTTCAAGACGTGCAAAAGAGACGAAACCCCAACAAACACTATGTAAGTTGCCCGTGATTGACATCCGTACAGAACTTTTCGTAATGTTTTTCCTCCTAATGAAAGTGTTTAGTGATGCAATGTTGAGTTTGTTTGGCTGGTTTGTGTGAACAAAGGCTGGAGATGTGATCAGGAGGATCGAGTTACACATCAGCACAACACGCCAAAAGAGTTGCTATTTCACAAACTCTGTTGTAGATTTTAAACAGCAGAAGTGTCAGGAAAATCTGCAGACAGCAGAGGGTTGGTTATAAGTCATCTATACTGTAGTAAAAGGGTTAATCCAGATGTTTTCACATCTGCATGAATGTAACAAAGACACTGGAGTCCATTAGTAGCTTAGACTCACACACACACTCACACTCACACTCACACTCACACACACACACACACACACACACTCTCTCTCTCTCTCTCACACACACACACACACACACACACATATGTATTTATTTACATTTGTAGCACAAGTTAGATTTTTGTAAGTTGATAGTGGTTTTCATCTGTGAGGGTTTACTAACTTCTCTTGAGTTCTCTGCTGAGACTCCTCAGTGTTTCTCAAGGCCTTTTGTCCTGTTCACCACACCCTTAAAGTTAAAACACCCTTCAACACCCGTTAACCCCACTCTGCAGCTCTCTGAGGTTATTCTGGACTGGCCTGGGATCTGTTATTGAATGCTGTTTTGGCAGCTGTAGGTTTGGCTTTTCCAGTCCAACAAAGCCAAAGTTTTGTGTATTTTAATTAATCTGTTGCTGATCAGAATAATAACAGATGTTTGAAACTTTTTCAGACTTACTTTTTTTGTTTCTAGCTAATGTAATGGACATGCATATGCTTTATAGATTCATATGAGCATAAACCAGGAATGTAAAGAGATTTAAAGTGTTTCCAGGCTGATATTGATAGTTGATTAACAGCTTGTTTCAGCTGATATGATTACCAGTAATTGTACTTTGTTGTGTTTTAACACTTTTAACTGGAGCAGCTTATTATTATTATATAGGTATAAATACTAATAGTCGTGAGTTTGATTTACGCTCCATATTTAGACCTTTTTGTTTTCTGTACTTTGATACAGGGGTGAATTTCACGAAATCTGCCAAATATATGCCCCAGTCATATTTCACTCCCAAATCCAAAGTTTTATGAAAAAAAAAATATATATATATATTTTTAGTAAAAAAAGTTTTATTTGTCGTATTTAATTTAATTTATGCTAAAACCATTAAAAACAGGGCAGTAATAATTTGTTTTCTATATTGCAGTAAAACTGTATGACTTTGACAATAATAAGTGTCTAATTAGAATCTTACATTGTGAATATTAAGAATAAAAAACAACAAAAAATTAATGTTTAGATATGATATTAAGAACTTTTGCGGGGGGGTCTGCTTCATTTGCATGCAAACAACATTCAAGTGTATTTATTTCTTTATAAATGTTATTTTTTAATTCTTTATTTAATTAATTAAATAGCTAATATACAATTAAATAATTAATGATATTAATTTATTTATTAAAAATTCTCCTGGTCTTAAACAGAACTGACAGTGTTTAAACCCCAATGGTACAATTTTAGATTCCTTTTTAATGAACATTGCTTGATATATAAGCTATTTACATAAATGCAGGGTGTGATTTGTTAAAAATAAAATAAATAAACAGAGGGATATTTGAATAAGAATGTCATTGCTGAAATGTTAATGTACATATTTAGAAATATGGTGTAATTCATATAAAATGAACAGTAAAAATACAGAACATATCCAAACTAAAATAATTGTTTAACTTATTGACTATAAATTTATTTATACAATTTACAGGCCCCATGAGGTTTTAAGGAAAGCATTTTACCATTTCAAACATTTTGAACACCATCTTTCCCAATGAGTTTTTAGTATCTTATTACTAGGTTGCATGCAGCGCTGAAAATAAAACCTGTAACAAAAGCTAAAATTAAAATCAGTGCATCTCATGCTGAGGACAGTAATAACTAGCAGCTGCTGACTTGCCCTTTAAGAATATTAGACCTAAAATGTTAACATAATATTATTCCAATGGGAAGAATCTGTAATGCATGCTTTAATATATCGTATATATGTATAAAACTTACATCACCATCTACTGTCAGAAATGGGGAATGCATGCCATCTGATCAGAAGTGAGGCTGGAAAATCCCCTTGAAAATCACACCAGCATGAATGCATTTGACTGTCATTTTTATCCAATGCATTCAGTTATAGATTTTGCCAGTATGTGTGTTCCTGGGAATCAAACTCAAGACCTTGATTTGTCCGTGGCATGTTGAGCTCCAGGAACTGAGGCTGGTATGACGTCCACATCATGAGCTTATTTTAGTCTCAGTTTCGCTTCTGTATTAGTCTTACTGCATTTCCAGTCAGTTTTAAAATAATGAAGCCACCAATTTACGTCATTCAGAACAAAACACCACATGTACTGTGCATTGTTGTCACTCCTAACAGCTGGATAGTGTGTGTTGTGTTCAATCTGATGGCATCTTCATAGCGTTTCTCAGAATGGCAGGATCTAGGAAGCCAGAATAAGTGTGATCCAGGTTTCAATGTTACATAGAGTTATTATAGACATCGGTTATCCTGAGAAAATCCTGTTGCTCTCCTGGCAGAATACAACGTGAGAAAGCAAGTCGATTACTATAAACATCACTAATAGCCTATAAAGCCCTGGATTGAGTCACACTGATCAATACAGGACCCTTGAGCTGAGATGTGTGGGAGATCAACATTATATTCTTAGAGAAAATCAAGTATTGCTGTATTGCTCAAACAAACAGGTCATTGGTGAAGACAGGCCCTTTCTCCTACGGAAAAAAATCCTCCCTTCCCCCTCTACTACAGATGGAGGAGGAAAAAGCAGACTTGTTGTAAACAGGCAGAATGTTCAACATTTTAACTGTTTAAGGACAGATAAATGCCTGTTAGTTAGACCTGTTGAATAATGCAGTGCTTTTGCTGTGAAGCTGATAACTAAGACAAGCCAAGACAAGTCACCATAGCACTGTATACCATACAGACTGTGTCAAAGCAGCTTTACAGTGTTAAACAGGAAAATAGTGTGCTGATAATGCAAGAGGACAATAGAAAACAGTCAGTTTATCAGTTAAAGTCGGTTCATTGATGAGTTAGTGATGCCATCATCCGGTTCAGCTCTCTTCTAATAGTGTCTGTGCAATCAGTCAAGCGTCCACAAAACTCCATCGGTGACAGAAATGGAGAAAAATCCTTGGGAGAAACCAGGCTCAGTCGGGGGGCCAGTTCTCCCAGCATGGTGTGGTTTAATTCCAGGCTGCAGCACAGGTCAAATTGTGCAGAGGACTCATCTGGTTCCTGTGGTCTTGTGCCGATGGTCTTCACAGGGGATCTGTCTCTGGGTGCATCTAGTTGACATGGTCTCCGCTGACATTCAGGGCTGTAGAGGTCCTCTCTAGGTGCTGATCCACCATCTGATCTGGATACAGACTGGATCTGGTGGCTACGGTGACCTCGGAATAAGAAAGAAACAGACTAATATTAGCGTAGATGCCATTCTTCTAACGATGTAGCAAGTAATCATTTGCAATCAAGTCAACGATATCGCTGGAAATGAAGTGTCCCCAACTAAGCAAGCCAGAGGCGACAGCGGCAAGGAACCAAAACTCCATCGGTGACAGAATGGAGAAAAATCCTTGGGAGAAACCAGGCTCAGTCGGGGGGCCAGTTCTCCCAGCATGGTGTGGTTTAATTCCAGGCTGCAGCACAGGTCAAAGGAAAAGGATCTTCCGCCCGCAGTTGATTTTGATATTCTAGGTATTATCAAATAGTTTTTAGATCGTAGCGGATGTGAAGGACTATAATGCGATGTGAAGTATTGAGGAGCTAAACCATTCAGGGCTTTATAAGTAATAAGCAAGATTTTAAAATCTATAGGATGTTTAATAGGTAGCCAGTGCAGTGTTGACAGAACCGGGCTAATATGGTCATACTTCCTGATTCTAGTAAGAACTCTAGCTGCTGCATTTTGGACCAGCTGGAGTTTGTTTATTAAGCGTGCAGAACAACCACCCAATAAAGCATTACAATAATCTAACCTTGAGGTCATGAATGCATGAATTAACATTTCTGCATTTGACATTGAGAGCATAGGTCGTAATTTAGATATTTTTAAGATTGAAAAATGCATGACTTTCAAAGGAAAGATTGCTATCAAATAGCACACCTAGGTTCCTAACTGATGATGATGAAGAATTGACAGAGCAGTCTGTCAGTAAGTGTTAGACAAGGTTTTAGGTTATTACATGTGGAGATTTTTGGTCCAATAATTGACACCTCTGTTTTTTTCAGAAATTACTAGTCATCCAGTTTTTTATATCAGCTATGCATTTCATTAGTTTTGCGAATTTGTATGTTTCGTCAGGCCGCGAAGAAATATAGAGCTGAGTGTAATCAGCATTACAGTGAGAGCTAACACCATGTGTCCTGATGATATCTCCCAAGGGTAGCATGCAAAGCGTTTATTTATCTGTTCACAAGCATCACTGTTATGTTTGCTCATATTTAGAGCTGGCGATTGGGCTGCACAATTATTCAAAATAAAACCAAAATTGCAATATGTCTTCGTGCAAAGGCTGCAGTTTAACTGAATAAACATTAGTGCTGCGTGTTTGAGCACGTGAGCGGCTCGGTTCACAGTAAAACTCTGTCTCTGTTTGGGTCACTATAACATGAATGTGGGAGCATAACATGTGCCAATTATCTTCCTATAGCCTACTTGGAATAAGTTTTTCTCAACAAAAGAGAAGTGTTAGGCTACCTGCAGTTTTTTGTCAAAATAAGTTTTATGGTTCAATGTTTCAAAATAAAATGTAAAATAAAATTATAATATTATTCTTCTGAATAAGTAGTAGTAGTGAGCAGTAGTAGGAATATTATTATTATTTTTCATATTCGTATTCATATTCATATTATATATATACAGTGTATATATA